TTGATAATTTCCACATTCTGTCAGGTGATTTTTTTTTTTGGAATGGGAATAAATTTGAATCTCTTCTAGTCAGTTGACTATGTAATTGTCCTCCAGATTTCTAGGTATAACTTTGTAAGCACATCCATAGCTGCATCTGTTTGCTGAAATATGTCAGTTGCTATTGCATCAATTTCTGGGGTTTTATTTTTTGCCAAGTTAATCAGAGCAGCCTGAACATCCTCCTTCATCACTATTGTCTCTTGATCATATGTTGTTTCTTGAAATTCTTCTGTGTCAGCCAATTCTTTTTGGTACAGTGACACTATGTACTCCTTCCATCTTCTTTTAATGCTTCCTGAATCATTCAATATTTTCCCCATAGCATCCTTAAGCATTGCAACTTGTGGCTTGAATTCTCTCTTTCATTTCTTCAGTTTAAGAAATGCCAAGCGAGTTAGGCCCTTCTGATTTTCCAACTCCAGATCCTTGCACATTTCATTATTTTGCTTTGTTTTCCCAAGCTGTCCTTTGAAATATTTTATTCCGCTCTTTAACTTCTTGATTTCTTTTTCCTTTGCTTTGGCTTCTTGGCGCTCTAGTGCACGATTCAGAGTCTCTTCTGACATCCATTTTGGTCTTCTTCTTCCTTCTTTGTAATGACCTTTTGCTTTCTTCATGGACAATATTCTTGATATCTTCCCACAGCTCATCTGGTCTTCGTTCATTAGTGTTCAAGGCCTCAAACCTTCTCCTGAGTTGGTTTTTATATTCAGGGGAGACAGACTTCAGGTCAAATTTTTATTACTGTGGATATAATTTAGCCTTCTTTAGTTTTAATTTGAACTTGCGCATGAGTAGTTGATGGTCTGTTCCACAATAAGCATCTGGCCTAGTTTTCACTGCTGATATTGAGCTTCTTCAACAATTCCTTCCATATAGATGTAATCGATCTGACTCCTGTGCATACTATCAGGTGAAATCCATGTGTATAGCCTGCATTTATGTTTCTTATAAAAGGTATTTGCTATGAATAAATCATTGAATGTACAGAATTCTATCATTCTATCCCCAGGCTCATTTCTGTAACCAAGCCCGTATTTTTCCAACTAACAATCCTTCTTCCTGGTTCCCAACTTTCACATTTCAGTCACCATTATTACTAATGCATCTTGGTTGCATGTTCAATCGATTTCTGACTGCAACAGTTGATAAAAATCATCTATTTGCTCCTCTTCGGCTCTGGTTGTTGGTGCATAAATTTGAACGATAGTGGTAGAAATAGGTCTTCCTTGAATGCATATGGATATTATCCTGTCACACACAACACTGTTTTTCAAGATGGAAATGCAGTATTCAATTTTAAATGGTCTTTTTACCTATGAAAGTGACACAGTTTTGTCTTACCTTTTCATCTCCAGCATAGTAAATCATATGATTCTCTAACTCAGAATGTTCCATGCCAATCTATCTCCTTTCAATAATACCTAATATGTCAATATTTATGCATTCCATTTCTTTCTTGACGATGTCCAGTTTTCCCACATTCATGGTCCTCCATTCCATTTTCCAATCATTAGTTTCTGCTTACAACTGCTTCTCCTTTGTATTTCCAAATTTGAGGGCTCAGCCTCAGTTGCCATACGTAAGTGTGCTCTACTGTACATAGGGTTTTCTAAGGTCTATTATATTTCAGAAGTGGATGGTCAATCCTTGCTTCTGGAAACCCTATGAACCTGGAGAAAATGATAGAGAAGGTGTACAGGACTTTGGTTCATAGGATCGCTATGAATTGCCCGCACCTAGATGGCACTTAACAACACAACAACACAAGTTTTTGCCCATTTCCTCTAGGTCTTCATATTTGTTTGAGGATAGTTTTTCATAATAGTCCATTGTTTGCCCTTTTGATTGGTTCTGCTGTGATATTGCGCCTTTAATCTCTTATTTGGATTATTTGTGTCTTTTCTTTCTTTTCCTTTGTTACTTTTGATAGTGGTTTGTTGATTTTATTGACCTTTTGGAAGAACCAAGTCCTGGTTTTCTTGATGGTTTCAATTGTTTTTCTGTTTTCTATTTCATTTATTTCTGCCCTAATTTTTATAATTTCAGGTTTTTTAGAGGGTATCAGGTTTTCTTGCTGATTTTTTTTTTAATTTGTTGGAGATGTTGGGTTAAAGAGTCAGTGGTCATTTTGTCTTGCCTTTTGGTGTGTTTACTTATTGCTATAAATTGACCTCTGATTACTGTTTTGGCCGTTTCCCAGAGTTGTGTTTTTTTTCTTTCTTGTAAGTTGTGTTTTGTAGCATTGTGATCTGAGAGGATGCTTTCTATTATTTCTATATTTTTTAATTCACTGATGCTTGCCTTGTGATACAAAATGTGATCTATTCTGGAGAACATTCCATGCACATTGGAGAAGAAGGTATACTGTGCTTTTTTTGGGGGGTGCATTAGCCTATCTATCTATCTATCTATCTATCTATCTATCTATCTATCTATCATCTTTCTATGAAATTGAGTTGGTTTATCATGTGGTTTAGTTCTTCAGCATCTTTGCTGAGTTTCTTTCTGGTGGTTCTATCTTTTCTTGAGAGTGGTGTATTGAACTCTCTAACTACTATGGTGGTGTTGTCTATTTCCCTTTGCAGTTTTGTTAATGTTTGTTTTATATATATTTTATACAACTTTCCTGTGAAGCCTGCACCGTGAATTCAAATTTTACCCTTCAAAACTGTGTCATCTCATACTTCAACATGACAGCAAGCAACAAATTCTGATGAAGATGCAGTGAGAATAGAACCTTCTACACAAGTTAGTGGGAATGTAAAATGTTGTAATTGCTATGGAAGTCAGTTTGGGGCTTCCTTAAAATGTTTAATTTGATTCAGCTATTCCACTATTAGCCATATACCTAAGGAAATCAGGGCTGTAACATGAACAGTTGTGTGCACACCCATGGTTACTGCAGCATTCACGAGTGCGCATTAAGAAATAAATAGGTAGAGAAACTGTGGTACATCCACACAAGGGAGCATCACGCTGTACTGTAAAAACAATGAACTCATGAAACACGGCATAACATGGATAAGGACATTCTCTGAATAAAATAACTCAGTCACAAAGTCTTACTCAGTGTAAGACTATGGCTATAAAAACTAGAGAAAGCTTTACAGATGCAAACAATCCATCTAGAATTGTACCAACAGGGAGAAGGGGAAGAAGCAGAAAACTCATAGATTGACAATGAACACTTTATTGGAATGGGTGAAGGAAGGACAATCAGACAGTGTATGTATTGTAATGAACATTATGGAACAAGCTATGCATAAACTATGACTGGAGGAAAGAAAACAAACCAAGCAATATGCTTTGTAAATTTTTACACAAATGACAATAAAAACTGTTAGAAACCCCAACCTGCTATGGCACAATAAATAAGGCTGTACTCTGTAAAGTCACTATCTTCAGGGCACTATCTGACTGAGACAATCCCTTTGAGAGGGGTTATTCTAACATTTGCTGATTAATTCAAACATCTCTATAGATATTCAAGAGAAAGGCAGAGTTCTTATTAAGTATGAGCTGAAGTATCTTTTCAAAACTCAGGATGTTCCCTAAGGGCTGGACGATTCAGGGCAGCCCTAGCCCAACCTCACCACCTTATGCGGCTTCACATACGGGGCTGAAGAGACTTCACCTGCCCCTGCAGGGGCTGAGCAGAGGGCAGGGAGGCAGCTCAAAGTGAAGCCACATGAGTGAGCAGGAGTGCCTTCAGGCCAAGTGACCACATAAGTGCCAGGAAGAAGGCAACTTCCCCTGTCTGCTCCTAAGGATCCAGTTCCCCTATGCTTTCCTCACCTCTGGATCAGTGATTGGCACCTGCCATCACTGAAAATCAGAGCTTAGAAGCATGGCTGAGGGGAACAAGCATGTGTCCATACTGCAAGCTCTACAGGCATGCTGCCGGGCTCGCATCTCTGAGCAGACATTGCTGTCAGTTTCCTATCCATCTAAACCTACTGCCATGGAGTCAGTTATAACAGTAGTGACCACATGGGGCAGAGCCTAACTGCCCCTTGGGGCTTCCAAGGCTGCACTCTTTACTGCACAGACTGGCACATCTTTCTCTGGAAGAGTATCTAGTAGATTTGGACTGCTACCAACCTTTAACCACAGCTGAACATTTAACCACTGTGCCTCCAGGGTTCCTTCTTGTTTTCTGCTTTGGTCAAAATCATACATTCAAGAGACATGGTTGCTTGCAAGTTGCCCTTGGTTCCTTGGCTCATGACTGAACCAATCTGCTTAGAAGATTTGCTGATGGGCTGAGTTCAGAAGTGGCCAGCCTCAGATGTATAAGCAAAATGATGATAGGGTGATGATGCTTCCCAAAAACATCTCTGAAAGGAAGTGCAACTTACAAAGGTATAAAGCTAAAGAACAAAGCAGAGACATGCTAGGTCAGGGGTGGAGGTGGGAGTCATGGACAGGTTTCTAAGAGCTGGTTTCACTGGTGAACGAGATGAGACAGGCTGTATTGAGAAGCACCTCTTGGAGTACAGAGGCTGGGGCTGGACAAGGCTAGGGAGGAAGTGCCCATAAGGGGAAGAGGGCCATGAGGAAGTATAACCAGCTCTGCCAAGATCAGGGATGACCACGGGTCACAGGGGGATACAGAGGCTCATGGTCAGAAGCATGAGAGAGCAACTAGCTGAAGTGGGTCCAGGTCCTAGGAGAGGCCTGCTGCCTCACGGAAAGTCTGAGGCTGCAGGCCTGTGAACAGAGGTGGGCAGCCCATAACAGCAGATGCTGCAAGGCAGTGGTACAGACTCCCAGAACCAGAAGGCATGAGGATCCTCTGCCATGAGGCATCACCAATGTTCCAGCCCCTGTCCTAGGCTGTGGGATGAATCAGCTGTCACCTCAGGCCTGGGGTCTGAAACAGAGCCAAAATGACAAGGAGGTTGCCAAGAAGGCCTGGCCAGCCTCTGCCCCCAGCCTGTATAACCTAGCCTTACCTCCTATCTTGGCATTGTAGGCGATGCCCACGATGCAGTACGAGTTGTTGGCAGTGGCGGCCACTTCACCTGCACAGCGTGTTCCATGTCTAAGGCAAAGGAGACCAAGTTAGGGCTGTGACCAGCAGCTTCCAACCAGTTGTTACATGACAAGACAAGGGACTGGGTTTCCTTAAATCCAAAGCAGAGTCAAGTCTCTTTTCTGCCCCATCATCAGAATCTCCTCTGATGGATACTGTGAAGGCAGATCAGCTAAGCCTCCATTTTGGGCACATTACACCTTCCAATACTCCTTACGTGGCAGGTACTGCTGCCTCTTCCAGGAAGCCCTCCCTCACCCCCAGTCAGGTTAGGAACTCCTACACCAAACAGCCAGGCTCTCCACCTCCACAGAACCTGCTGTGGGCAGGTGCCACACTTCCTTTGATCCACAGCATGATGGACCCAGATATATCATAACAATCCCATGGACAGCATGACAGAAGAGCAGATGGACACTTGGGGCTTGTCCCATGCTCTCCTGAGGACAGCCTTCTCATCCTTGGCCAGTCACTTAAGTGGGAGACAGGGAAGGAGATGCTAAATTGAAAATGTAACAACATATGGAGTACCAGAAAGCAATGACCAAGAACAAACTGCTTTGTCAGTAACAATCCCAATTTCCAACGTGATGAGTGTGTCAATTTTTCTGGCAGAAGATCAGATGACCAGAGATCAGGTGACCTGAAACAGTGTGCTTTTCAGAGGGGTCTGCATCATTGACTCAAATGGAAAGAGGCCTTTTGGATGAGAGTCACTTGCTTCCTCTGGTGTTGTAGGAAGGGCTGCTGTTGTTCAGCTCAGCATCTTGCCCTCGGAGTTGGTTGTGTCCTTCAAGGGTTAGTGAGAACCATCTCCCCTGCCTCTGGACATGTGGCGAGAACACAGCATCCTCTGCTCCAGGCGCTCTGGGCATCACTGAGCAGGAAAGGCACTTTGGGACGCAAGAACAGTCTATGCCTCTGGGCACAAGAAATTCCAGCCTGGTCCTCTTCACAGCACCATCTGGACACCAGGATTGAAGCCACAGATGAATGCACTGAAGACCACAGCAGAATGGAGGTGGATGTGCCTAGCAAGCATCACACTGACAGGCAGGATCTTGTCACACTGACAGGCAGGATCTTGTCACTGTTCCCAGACAGAGGAAGGACAGGCCAAGCACCACATGTGGACTCAGCACCAGGATTGGGGAGCTCAGCTCCAGCCCAGGGTGGCTGTGGAAGCACTGTTTGAGTCCCTTTATTACGCCAGTCTCATGACCTGCAGGTGCTCAGAGAAAGACACCACTAGCAGCAGCATCTGCTGAGCTCCACTGGGAGCCCTGGACCCTACAAAGTGCTCCCACATTTCATCTCACGCTTACAACTCCAGGCAATGGGTGATCTCTGAGACTCAGGACCTTGCACAAATCACATAGCTCACGGGCCATGAGCCCTTCTGGATGGAGCCTCTGGTCTGCACTGTTCCACCTGGCTCTCAGGTTGAAGGTGGAGGCAAAAGAGTCCACGGGAGTGGCCTGTGTGCCTAGAAGGGTCTGCTGAACGCAATTGCCATTGTTATTTCTGACCCATAATGCTCTTAAGAGGACAGAGTAGAACTGCCCCATAGAGTTCTCGAGGCTGTGACTTTTTTTTTTTAATTTAGTTTGTTTATTTTTCATTTCAATGAACATCTACAGAGATTTTGGAATTCCATTCATTCATTGTTGCA